GTAAAAATACTCAGCGATACTACACAACAAAACGTCTAATAAGTTACTTGTTATCCAACACGCCAAACTGTTATTTCAGTGCGGGCGAATTTCGCGGATATTTATTTACGAGGAGTGCGTGACAGAAGTATGCAAAGCGAGCGGAACGGAATTGGCGCGTTGTGTTGCTGTTTCTATTTTCTTCATTAAATGAAGAAATTTTCTGGTCGTCAAGCTGTTTTTCTTTGCTGGATTCATCTGATAAACTTGGATCTATATTTGCCAGCCGTTCTGACCCTTCGTCGTCGGAAATATGATTCAAAAATTGTCCGCCATTGTTTTTCTCGTAATTACAATCCAATTCTTCGCTTGCGCGATGCGAGAAAACTTGTTTAAGCGGTACTCTACAATAGACGAGTACAAATACCGCGTGATATTTGTACTCGTCTATGGCGTTATTCGTACTCGTCTAAATGTAGTTGGATAAGTAATTAATACTTGAATTGTCTTTCTCTAGTGGTACACGATACTCATAAATAAGTGGGATGTGAAAAATAAATCCTCTACAACACTACCTTATAGCGTCATTAGACAAACTCTATTTCTGTTTAACACTATAAAATTGTGCTTTTTTAATAGTCACATGCAGTCTCAGACTGTGTGTTATTTACACAGCGCCTAGATCCATCACTTGTCCATAACGCTTTGTGTGATAAATTACAAAATATAATAGAACAATGAAAATATTCTAAGTTACTATAGCAATCTCTCGACTACAGATATCAATCAAGGGTACACTTTATTCAAACTATGCATAAAAGACCTTAAAAAAAGAAATGCATAAATAAAAAAGAGAAATATCCATAAGTAAAATTCTGTTTAAATAAATGAGCTAAATTTTTCAAGCAATTGATTGCATATTTTCTTATGAAATTCAGGATTAATTTCGTTTGTTTTCACAAATGAAATTAAATGCATACTTCATTCAAACTTTGTATGAAAAACCTTGAAATAAATAAATAAACAAATGAATAAATAAATAAAGAGAAATGTTCATAAGTAAAAATTTATGACCACCAAATTATGGAATAATTTACCCTTAGGTATTTGGATATCTTCGCTAATAATTGCCCAGAAATTAAGATGGGACATAATTACGAGTCTGAAATTCGTTGTCAAAATTTTGGCATTTGGCCAAGTTTTTCCTCAATAAAAATCCTTTTTTGGCAACCTCACCTAACAAGTTCACTGGTTTGTCCTTCAGATAAAGATTTATCACCACAATATTTTAGTCTACTCCTAAGAACGCCTAAAAAGCCACTGATGCTAGAACGTTAAGTCCTAGAATTATAATTCGGATGACTTAAAAAACTAGAAATATAGCATAGTGCCAAACCATTCAGGGCTTTCGGCCAACTAACAAAAGCATGCAAAAATAATGAAATGATGCTAAGTTGTACAGGAAACCATAAGGGTCTTACTTTTTAGCAAGTGTAACAAGGAGAACTGCTGCATTTTGGACAGCCTGTGACCTTCCCTTCTGTAAACTTCTTGTTCAGGACGTACCAACAATTACCATCAATAAAATTACAATTCCACGTACTTCACAGTTCAACCCTTCTGCCGTGTGCTCAACTTATGCTTTAAATCTTGTTAAAAAAATCGTTCATCAACAATAAATTATTGATCTTAACTGGGGAAGTTTTGATTGTGACCATTGATGGAGGTACCCTAGGAATCTTTTAGAGCCTCCCATATCGTGATCAACTGGTTTGTGACGTCCACCGACAGACCTGCATTAAAAGCCCCGATTTCCTTTAACAGTTGTATAGCTTCCATGAGAGATTCTTTCGTCAGGTTTCTCGTTAAATTCTTCAGGGAAAACTCTTTTAAACATCATGTTTTCCATATCGTCGCACATAGTTGCTATGATACACCAAGCTTTAAGCGTTGAAGGGGAATCTTCATCCCGATCATTTTTTCTTTTCATGATTTGATCGACCTCGCTCCGTAACTTTCTAAGTTCCTCTTCCAAGAGTCTTTTTTCGTTTTCCAGTTTTGTTATTTTTCCCTCTAGCTCTTTGATCTTAGCGTCATGATGTTCTTTTAGGCGCTTAAGTTCGTTTTCCAAAGATTGTATTTTGTTTTCCTTTGAACCAATTTCTCTTTTAAGATCACTGACGTCTGGCCTACTGTCTCCATCCCAGGACGAACCGTTGCTCATGTTGCTATTAAACCTAAAAACGTTACTTAAACTTTATGGTCATCGGAAATCGATATAGTCAAAGAAATGAATAACAAATAACAGGTTCTGAAAAACTCGATTTTACCTAAAGTACTGGTTATTTGACTTTTTAAAAACTGTTCGCAGATGCTTAATCAACGTAAGAGAAGCTACCCAACTTGTATTTACCTTTAGTTCTCTATGTCCAAACTAGAAGTAAATATTTTTCATTTGGACACACTTGCTGAGAGAGAATGAAAGGTATCAAATCTAGTTAAGATGGGCTTTGCAGCTTAGGGTGTTTGGGGACAGTTTCCCGAAACAGCTCCCGGCTAGTCCTATAAAAACAAATTTGAACCTGTTTGAAGTTGAACAAATTTTACACGTGTGTTGACTAAAGGATTGAAATATAAAACAGTGAGGGTAGTATAGCAACTACTATCATGCTAATTTTATAGGAATAACAGTTTAATTCAAACATTTTTGGACAACTTCAGATTTTACCTCAGATAACATATGTGTCGACGTTTGTTTCGTAGACTGGTGTCATCAATCACATGATTTTTCGTGCCCGTACAATTTGGAATAAACAAGTTCTTTTAGACTACATTTTCCTTGTAGATAAAACTGTTGCACACACCTGAACTGAAAACGGAAACTTCATCATTCAGTGGGGTTTTCTCCAAAATGTTAGAGTGTCAAGAACTATCAACGTCTCAGGTTTCACTACCTTAAAAAAAAAGAACAAATTAAATGGGTGAAAAGTTTTCGTATATGATTCAAATAGATCATTGATGTGTTAAACGGCGTAGAATTTTATCCAGTCCGACATAACTTAATATTAATAATAATAATAATAATTGAAATCTATATAGCGCAAATTCCATATACATGATCAAATGCACTTTACATGAAAATAAAGAAAATGTAGGGAAAAAAAATATATATGTAAAATTTCAATTTCCCTAATGAGATAAGAAATTAAAAAGCACTAACCAAATGAGATAGAATATTAAAATGCACTAAGCTGATGAGATGTAAGATTAAAAGCCCGGGTAAAAAGGTAGGTTTTAAGATTACGTTTCAAACTAGAGAAGGAGTGAAGGCCAGTGACGTTACTTGGTAAGTCATTCCAGCGACGTGGTGCAGCATAGGAGAATGCTCTCGCTCCCAATGTGGGTAACATCTTACCACTTGGGACCTTGAGCAGAAGTTTTTGATTCGACCTTAGCTTATATTTAGTGGGAATTTTAAAACTAATAAGCTTACAAATATAGCGGGGTGCCATCCCGTGCATTGCCTTAAGACACAATAAAAGAATCTTAAACTCTATACGGTACCTAAATTGGTAACCAGTAAAGCTGGCATAACAGCGGTGTAATATGACTAAACTTAGGTTGTTTAAAGATTAGCCTAGCGGCTGCACTTTGAACCCTTTGTAGCTTGTCAATTTGTACTTGAGGTGTACCACAAAGCAAGCTGTTACAGTGATCCAATCTGCTCGTAATAAAAGCATGGATCAAAGTCTCTGTAGAGTTTGGCGATAAGTACTTCCTAATGCGCCAGATATTATGAATATAATAAAATGATACATTATAAACTTTGTTTATATGAGCATTCATAGATAGTTTGTCGTCAAGAGAAGTACCAAGGTTTTTACAACAGACGATCTTTCAACATGGGAACTTCCAAATTCATCTGACGAAAGAGTAAGTTTCGATAATAGTTTATGATGAGGTGTATGAAGACACAGTACACTATTCTTAGAAAAAATTTCGTTCCATCACGATCGTTTCAGTGATCTCATACCCACTCTCTTTAAAAACTGACTGCGGTAGATTGTAGGTGTATCGACCATTATTACTTTCTCAAATGTGATTGGTGCATTAGCTGCTTTATTCTTACTATATCGCTGATTGGACAATGCAACTAAGTCCACTCAGCTAGATCCACCAATCACAATTTGGTCATAATTTATTTTTAAGATACCACTTGCTCACGAACTGTGAAAAAAATAATCAGTTATTGTAATTTCTTTGTTTAAATCATCAAAAATTAGTTGAATGTTATAAGTCAAGACATTTTAAATGTCACCTTTCAATAATATACGCAGCAACCTATATTAGACTTTGACAGATTTTTTGAATGATGTGAGTGTAGAAAAATTAGACTGTCACCAGTTCATACATCTGAAAGAACAGGGAAAGAAGAACCTAAAACTTGCTGTTCAGTAATCAGAAAGATGAACATCATTCCTATTTGTTTTCCTGCCATCCGATCAATAATGCACAATCCGTAATCCTAAACCTTAAAAAGAATTAAATTCAAAACAAGATGCCAATTTTTTCTTTGAATAAGTTAAAAAAGGGGTTGTTGTCATGTTGCTCAATTCATGTTGAATTCTTGAATTCGATTCACTCACTTGCAGATTCGAAAATGATTGTAAATGTCAGCATATTCTCCTTTGACAATTTCGATAACTAGTTCTCTACTTATTTTTAGGTCACGATTTTCGTTTGAAACCAAGGCTTTTATTCATTATTTCTAAATAAGAAGATATCTCAGTTCCGTTACAAGAATCAGTTTTGAAAATCTGCCTATGCCTTGTCTGTGTTATAAGATCTTACTTGTAAAATTAACTTAATTAATTTTGATTAACGAAAAGTTAATTCGGTCACGATTTTCGTTTGAAACCAAGGCTTTTATTCATTATTTCTAAATAAGAAGATATCTCAGTTCCGTTGCAAAAGTCAGTTTTGAAAATTTGCCTATGCCTTGTCTGTGTTATAAAATCTTACTTGTAAAATTAACTTAATTAATTTTGATTAACTAAAAGTTAATTCGGTCACGATTTTCGTTTGAAACCAAGGCTGTTATTCATAATTTCTAAATAAGAAGATATCTCAGTTCCGTTACAAGAATCAGTTTTGAAAATCTGCCTATGCCTTGTCTGTGTTATAAGATCTTACTTGTAAAATTAACTTAATTAATTTTGATTAACGAAAAGTTAATTCGGTCACGATTTTCGTTTGAAACCAAGGCTTTTATTCATAATTTCTAGATAAGATGATATCTTAGTTCTTGCATAAATCAATTTTGAAAATCTGCATATGCCTTTTCTGTGTTAGAAAACCTTAATTGTAAAATTTACTCAATTAATTTAATTAGCTAAAACTTACTTTGAAATATGTGGGGTTACCAAGATACTGAGATTTCGCTCAAAGAATTTCTTCTAACGCCCTGGCCTTATCAAAAGGACACTCGCAGTCGACTATAAGTAAAACGCTCTAAACTAATTTCCATAAGGAAGATTTGCCTTAAAGAAAACACAATCAATCCCTGCCAAGTGTAAGAGTGTTTTTGTGTCATTAGACGTTGTTTACATTTCAAATCGCCGCAGGAAGCAGAGTAAGTATGATTAATGAAAGTGCATGGGTGGACTTTTTATCAAGCTGTGTATTGTGTGATGGAGGATGATAATACAGTCGGCCACTGGGGAACATGAATGCATGTTTTTGCATGATTATGCATTGTTTAGGAAACATAGCTGCAGGTGATAGTATATTTGGTCAAAAGCTTGAGATATTTCTTGGTCATTTTGCCCTACATTTTGTTAATAGCTTTTGGTCATGAGAATATATATTTCATCGAGCCCGTGCGGGTCAAAATACAAACAGCGAGTAAAAATACTCAGCGATACTGCACAACAAAAAGTTTAAGAAGAGATTTACTATCCAACTCGTCAAAATGTTATTTCAGTACGGGAAAATTTCGCGGAAATTTATTTACGGGGTGTGCGCGACAGAAGTATACGAAGAGCAACGGAATTGGCACGGAAATTTCATTGTCGTCTAACTCCTTTTCTTCGTTCGATTTACTTAATAAACTTGAAATAATATTCGCCACCCATTCCGACTCTTCGTCGCCAGAAAAATAATTTAAATTGTCCGCCATTGTTTTTCGTAACTTCAACCTAATTGTCGTTTGCGTGATGCGAGAAAACCTGCCTATCTCAACAAGGAAACGATAGACGGTAAAAATACAACCCTCGCTACAACTATGGTTGTGTGCCAGAGAAAGATTTTTGATCCTTGGTACCATCCAACATAGCTGGATATCATTTGCAGCGCCGTGGAAATTTTTAGGAGTTCCAAGAATGATCAGCTCACGGCAGACAACCCTCTGATACCCAATGTGCTAGATAAGTTGACTAGGAATGAATGAGTTACAATTAATCGGATCCCTATGTTTGCGCAAAGATTTCTGAGATCGCCGCGAGGAAAACATTGCAAATCGCTAGAGAGAAATTTAAAGTTTTATGAAGCACTTTAAATCGGTTAAAAGTGTGAGTCGACCTAAAAAACACAACTTATGCGAATAAAGTTCTTGCATCTGCCCACTGTTTGGATTATGAAGCTATCTCCGGTGTGCAGATATCAAATAATGGAAAAGTTTGAAATTAACTACCTTTTTTCCTGCTCTCTTTCGACTTTACCAATGACAATTTGATGCTCTTCATTTTCATAGCAAGATGGTTTCAGAACTAGGTAAAGTTCGAAACCTTCTTTTTCTTCTCTTCTTTTTGTTCCCAAAGTGTTTCATGTCTATTTCCTTCCAATGAATAAAGGCTGATAGTTTCGAAAGAAACTGTTTGGGGCTGCGTCGGTGGGAGTAACGAAATAATTTGGATATATCAACAAAGTTGAAATGGTAAATTGGCCACCGTAATGATTACAAAAGCTGACGTTTCGAGCGTTAGCCCTTCGTCGGAGCGAATAGAGGAATTGTGGGTTGTGTGTGCTTTTAAAGGCAGAAAATGGAGCTACGTTATTGGTGGGTGCATGGCAACGAGAAAAACATGAATAAATTAGTGGAATGAAAAGCGTTCATTGATCCCTGTGGGATTTAGACTGCCGGTTTGAAAGATGAGCTTTTGTTCAAGATTTTTACGGCTTTCCGTGCCACCTAAGTGCAAGGAAAGACCGCAGATTGCCATATGTTGCTTAGAATGATTAGGTAAATTAAAATGTCTAGCGACTGGTTTCGATGTGTCCTTGTCATTCCTTTCCACGTCTCGAAGGTGTTCTCGGAATCGGTCACCTAGTCTTCTGCCTGTTTCGCCGATGTATATCTTTTTGCAATAAGTGCAAGTTATGCAATAGATTACATTGGCGGAGGTGCACGTGAAGTGATCGGTGATCTTAATGGATCGTTTAGGTCCCGATATTTTATCAGTGTTGTGAATGAAAGGACACGTTTTGCATCGTGCACGAGCGCATTTAAAAGTGCCTGGTTGCTCATTAGTCTGAAAAGAACTTCTGACCAAAAAATTGCCTAAGTTTTTGTCGCGTTTGAATGAAATGAGCGGAGGCTGCGAAAAGATAGTGCTTGTCTCTGGATCGTTTTGAAGTAATTTAAAGTTTTTAAGAATGATGGATTTAACTGAGTGGTTGTGAGGGTGAAACGTGAGAGTAAATTACTTCAAAACGATCCAGAGACAGGCACTATCTTTTCGCAGCCTCCGCTCATTTCATTCAAACGCGACAAAAACATAGGCAATTTTTTGGTCAGAAGTTCTTTTCAGACTAATGAGCAACCAGGCACTTTTAAATGCGCTCGTGCACGATGCAAAACGTGTCCTTTCATTCACAACACTGATAAAATATCGGGACCTAAACGATCCATTAAGATCACCGATCACTTCACGTGCACCTCCGCTAATGTAATCTATTGCATAACTTGCACTTATTGCAAAAAGATATACATCGGCGAAACAGGCAGAAGACTAGGTGACCGATTCCGAGAACACCTTCGAGACGTGGAAAGGAATGACAAGGACACATCGAAACCAGTCGCTAGACATTTTAATTTACCTAATCATTCTAAGCAACATATGGCAATCTGCGGTCTTTCCTTGCACTTAGGTGGCACGGAAAGCCGTAAAAATCTTGAACAAAAGCTCATCTTTCAAACCGGCAGTCTAAATCCCACAGGGATCAATGAACGCTTTTCATTCCACTAATTTATTCATGTTTTTCTCGTTGCCATGCACCCACCAATAACGTAGCTCCATTTTCTGCCTTTAAAAGCACACACAACCCACAATTCCTCTATTCGCTCCGACGAAGGGCTAACTCTCGAAACGTCAGCTTTTGTAATCATTACGGTGGCCAATTTACCATTTCAACTTTGTTGATATATCCAAATTATTTCCTTCCAAATCATGTCCAAATCACTGATGTACAATGAGCGACGGTCATTTTCTACTCAATCAAATTTTGGCTTATGTATAATTAAAAAGCTTTTGTATCGGCGAATCAGGAAGCACAGAATCATGATTTTCATTTAAAAAATACCATTTGGAAGACGAAAGCAGTGTTTTGAAAATACAGATATATACAACTTGACAACAACTTATTAAAAAAAAAATTAAAACAAGGTATAAAAAGCTTTTATTTAGGGCCCTAGCCGTGTTCTTTGTTCTTTCCAATTTGTCTGCAAGTTTTGTTTCTTTTTCATATTGATAATAAGGACGCCTGTCATATCTCTATGTGGTTATGTTATCATCATGAGAATAGATCGGCATGATTGCATGACTATGAATATTAATGTTGTGAAATGTGTTTAAGTGATCTGAATGTTGATCATTAAGGTGTTTTTGTAAGTTGTAACCGTCTAACCAAAATACTTTTAGACTTAACAACGCCGACGAAGCGGCAACGTGCAAAAAAGAAAAGGACTTAAAAGGCAAAACAATAGCTCAAAATTTTGTACCCTTGTTGATTAAAAACAAAATTTGCGTGTTCTGAGAACGGAAACTGCGACGGTAAGTTATTAAAATTTCCATTTGGAACTCAACGCGATGCGTAAATTTGTCTATAATCTCTTCAGGAAATGGTAGCCTGAGTGTCAGGCCTTCCTAAGGGGCTAGGGGAGGGGGAGAAGAGAAGGAGGACCTGACACAAATCCATTCAGAGAACCGTGTGACACATCCAAAATCTGGATGTGGCTGTGATTGGATAATACACATTATTAAAAACTGGATCATTGGATAATTTTTTGGCTAAGCCATTATGGCATATGAGCCAATATACCATAATCTACAAATTGGTAAGCGTACGCGTCAGTTTAAAATCAAAAGGGAGCTAAAAAATCCGGTTTCTTCTAAGAAAATGATAATTTCTTGGGGGCGTTTTTAATAAAGCAACTATTCCACTCGCGCTTGTTGGATATGAGATGATTATAGCCAACTCGGCACTACGCGCCTCGTTGGCCATCTATCATCTCATATCCAACGAGCGCGAGTGGAATAATTGTTAAATACCCGCTGACGTTATCTCATTGACCGGAAGTAAATACGAGCAGAGCGATCGCCAAGAAGAAGCCATTTTGATTTTCGATGGACACTTAGATGTGCATGCTATACTTTTATGGATAGAAAGGAATTAAAAAAGGCTGTAGAGGGAGCCCTCAA